CGATACTCGAAAGGCATTGACCAATCACCAACCTTGTGAATTGTGATGAAAATCCACTTACCACTTTTATGATGTCGATATCATGTCAGCATTCTAATCAAACCCATATATGTATACTTTAAAAAATTATTATTTTCTTTATTTTATTAATAACAAGAGTGGAATGGAGTAAATCCAAATCCAATGTGAAATCTGAAATTTCGGACTCAGGTGAGATACTGAATTAACTTTCAATAATCGGACCAGATTTGGGTGTAGCTCTAACTGATCCATATCTGATTACCTGACCCTGATTACAACCCTGACTGGGTTTGGGATAAGCAATCCGTTGACCAAGTGACATGTCAAACGGTTGGACTGTTGGGATCAATGACCGATTAAAAAAAACACTGTTATACATTATTGGGTGGTTTAGGTGACAGGGAAGTTGGATGTCCAAAATTTAGACCATGTATTTATTATATTTATATAATAATAAAGAGCAAGAACAGTAGAACACAAAGCAAATATATAACTAGTTACTTGTTAGGTTATTTTGAGTCATGATTAATGCAAAACCTATCAACTATTAAGGCTGCGTTTGGAAACAATGCAAATAGAGTGTAAATCTTGATTCAGGGTAAATTTACATTATGGTTTATTTTTGCCTGTATTTGGCAACATTACATTTTTATATTGATAAATAATAAACTAATGCATATTTACATTGATAATAAGATATAAAAGTACATCAATAAAAAAGAAGTAAATTTGTATTTAAGTGGGCTTTTGATAAAAAAAAAGTATATGGAATTCGTGTTTGTATCCATTATAGCTAAAAAGTTGTTTGGTAATAAAGTAAATTTGTCAATACAAAACTAACCCAACTTTACAATTTATATGAACCGTTTTACACTCTATATATTTGCATTCACACATATTTGCATCATTTCCAAATGCAGCTTAAACATTAAATAATGGAGATGGAGAGAAGGAAAACTGGTGTAGACTTTAAAAAAAGTGTGCTCTTTTTTTTATGTCTTTGTATTTCCCAATCCAGCCCTCTCTCAGCCAAAAAAATCCAACTATTGAGCTTGATCTACAGTTGTGTACTTAGGAATGCCAATACACTTCAAAATTCCGACACTCCTTAGACTAAGATTGGGAAGAATGCAAATACAAATATATACAATATAAATATAAGGTCTAAAAATACCGTATACAAAGTTTTGCACTAAATGTATTTGTTTATGCATTCTTCCCAAACTGAGCCTTAAGGATCCGATCCAATTATCTTTTTATATTTAGATAATATGTTGATAAATGGATCTTTTTCAACATGATGTCATTGATTATACAATAGAAATATCAAAAAATAAAAAAGGATAAAATGTAACAAACTTACAAACATATAGTAGGTTGCAAAAGATTTTAAGAAACATAAGATATATAGTTTTATATATTTATTATATTAAACAAATACGAGTGAAAAAAAAAAGTCATTGTTAATTATCAATGGAGCAATGGAAAAAAAAATACAGCAAAAATGTAAAGAAAAGGACTTGGTTGGTTATTGGGTTTTTGGGATTTGGATGAATGATTCTTTCAGATACAAAGATATTTTATAGTTAAAAAAAGGGGTTTAATATCTAACATATGACCATGTCATGTGGAAGGTATAATTGCCTGAATGGTTGGGCCCGTGGATTGTTGATTCAAATCATATTACAAAAAACGAAAAAAAAAGGGTCAAGGCCTCAAGGGCCAAAGAGATTAGGGGACCATTTGGTTCGTTTTTTTTTAGAAGATATTATTGTAATTCTAACAGTCAAAAGACGTATTGAGCTTTTGACATAAGATCTGGGCAGCCCGAAGACAGTTTGACAGACGTGCATCTTTCCATGTGTCTGCCCGTGTCTTTCCGTGCAAAATTAAAACGTGAAAGACGCATGAAGCTTCATTTGAAGCTTCCCGAAATGGGCTTCTCGTGTCTTTTTGGCGCACTGTCTTTTTAGCAGCTAGATTTTCTGCAAGTCAAAACGGAAATATACCAAAAATCGGTATTCCCGACTTATAAATAGCCAAAAGACTGTGCGGAAAGATGCGCCAAACGGGCCTTAAATCTTTTAGGCCCTAGCACATTAAAACATTCAATAAATATTTTCATAGTTGTATTAGAAAATTGAGTTGAATTAGGAATCGGAAAATTTACTAAGGGCACATTTAGTTGGCAGTCAGAATTGGAATTGAAATCCATTGGAGTCAGAATTGGAATGATCTATTTCTCCCATATGCTTGATTTGGAAGAATCAAAATTAGAATTAGAATCAGAATCAACCATTATAAATTCTCATTCTCAAAAAAGGGGAACGGTATAATTATTCTCTCAAATTAGAAAATGGCATTCCATCAGAAATGGAAATAAAATTTCTATTGCATCCAACCAAATAGTTGAAATTATAATTGATTAATCCAATTTTAGATCCCTATTCATATGAACCAAACATAACACTAACTCTCTAAAGGCTAAAACGAACCCAAATTCCCAATAGGTTGTGGATTGACAACGGAATTGGACCAACAAACAGTTGAAAAACTTTATGTTTTTATCCGGATTAGCTTGCGTCTGTTTAATAATGCAAATTTGCCCTCATATGATTTGATTAAAATCCGAGCTTAATGAAATAAATATAGTTTTTCCATATAGCTAATTTCATTGCTCTTCTAAATATACCGACATCATCTATATAGGGGCTACTTATTAATAACATCTAAAGTAGTCCAACTGAAAATTTTATTGCTTTGTATTTTAGTGAATAAGTTTTTAAGTAGTTGCGAGCTCTTTAATTGTTGAATCTGAAATTGTGTAGATTATTATATTCTTTAATTTTTACTATTTAATTATTCTATCAACTAAACAGACAAAGCAATAATATTCAGCAAAAATAATATAAAGCAATAAATCTTTCAGTTTCAGCAACTTCAGCCCATAGTGGCAACGGAACGGGGAACCACTCCCCATCCCTGTCTCCGCTATCTCCGCTAGTGGCCTTGTGGGAATGATGTTATCCCCATCCTCGGGGATCTCTACTTCTCATGATTTTTTTATAATATCAGTTATTTTGTTTTTATTTTATTTAAAAATTAAAAATAAAATAGTTAAAAAATTTACATTCTTATTAAAAATTTTTAAATATGTCCAAACATATTCAATCATATTTTTAAAAATATTAATATATATATATTTATATATATGGAATGACCCCAGGACGGGGAGTGCTCTCCCCATCCCCGCCCTCCTTTCTTACTAACGGAGATGAAAATTTCCCCATTCCCGCCCCATTCCAGATAGGTCCCTGTGGGGAACAAAAAATGGGGAAATTGCCATCCCTACTTCAGCCGCTATTAAACAACACCTAACATTGTGTTTGGTAATTGGTAAAATGGCCAACCTGTTGTTATTAGGGGTGCAAGTCAGGCGGGTTGGGCCGGGTTTATGGTCAACCCATGCCTAGCCCTAAAATTTGGGCTTAAGGCCAAAGCCCAGCTCGAGCCCGATTTTCCCAACTTGAGCCCAGTCTGCCCTGTAATTTGATGCACTCAAGTTGGGCTTGGGCCCGGGCCGGGCTCGGGTTGGGGTTGGTCAATAAACCCACTTTAAAATTTTGTATACATACATACATATGCAAACATATACATATATTTATGTATGTATGTAAATATGTATGCAACATTTATATATAAATGTATATAATTGGGCCGGGCTCGGACCAGGTTCGGGCTACCTAAGGGCTAAGCTCGAGTCCAGCCCAAAAAATAAAAAAAGCCCGACCAAGTTGGGTTGGACTGGCTCAGACTCGGCCTGCGCCCGCCCAAGTTGCACCCCTAGCTGTTATTGTAATGGGTAGGAATCTACTACCAACAAAAAAATGCTCCACACTGTAACAACAGGCCACTTCAACGCACATCTGAGCTTACTGCTTAAAAGTTGCTAACCATTAAATTATTTTAATTTTAAATATGGATTGTCTCTTTCGTATAAAAAGAAATAGGGATTGCTCTTTAACGTGACTAGCAATAATGCTTGCAGTAATTCCATTGGAAATTATTGACAGGGTCCAGGTCTATCAATAATTTCTGAAAGATGGTTAGCTAATTGATTAGGGCGCCCCTATTACTTTGACCACTCTTCACTTATGACCTTGGCAACCCCTGCCAAACGATTTCTCTACTGAGTACAACGTGGGTAGTTTTGTCTTTTTGTCACTAGTGCTGCCACGGTGGCAAACATTGGTGAAGTGGTTGCATCATTTTCTGACTTTTAATGAGCCTGCTCCTTTATCACGTCGTCCACTGCCCACCTCATCATCACCTACTTCTTCTTCTCTCTGCGGTTAGACTAGACCAAGTCTCACAATTCCCCAGCCCAACACCAGATAGACACGCACAAGCACGCGAAGAAGGCTGGCTAATTCAGACATCCTTGTCAAACGTTGAAAACGAGAGAAAGTTCAGACGTATAATCATTCTTGACCCGACCCTGTATATATTGTGGATCAGTTGGACAGAATTAAGCCGGAGCGGATAGGGACCCTGGATCCCCCCCCGGAAAGCTGCTATCCACGTTCGACGCCTCGATGCTGGAGTAGCTTATCCACAATCGGTTGGATTCAATCCGACCCGAACATAAAATTGTCTCGGGACCATTTGATCCATATTCACAATCCAATTAAATTGACCCGAGAAATACTGTACCTTACCCATCCATATTTTTTCTAGGAAAACCATCCATAAAATAATGACGCGATGATTAGATAAGCGACATCAATTAAACCAGCAATTCATTGTTCTCCGAACTAATTATCATTTAGGTCAGTTTAGTAAACTTAACAATTCCACATATTGTAATTAGAAATGATTTATTATTTATTATGCGTCTGAACTGTGTGATAAGCCCATAGAGTTTAAAGAGACATTACATAAACTACCTTTCAAACTACTTTTAATTATAACGTTTTTTCAAAAAGCCCTCCTTTTTCATTTTTGCCTTTTTTCAACCCGCGTTTCGTCTCCGCCGGAGAGTGGCTGTGACATGCCGCCAACACCACCCCGACCACAAGAAAAAAGAGAAAGGAAAGAACAGGAGTCGTAATACAGTCGCAAGCCGAAACAACACAATTCTGGCGTGATTTTTCGTGAGCTCTCGATATGGGCAACTGCTTCGCGTGTGTGACAGTAAGAAGTTTGGAAGATGGAAAAACGTCAAAGAAGAAGAAACCAAGAAAGAATGAACGGACAGAAAGAAGACCCAACCCTTTCGCCGAAGACCCGATTCGTTCTCCAGCACCGATCCGTGTCCTAAAAGATTTTGTCCCACTTGGTCACCGCACTCGCATCAGCGACAAGTACGTTCTGGGTCGCGAACTCGGCCGAGGCGAGTTCGGCGTCACCTACCTCTGTACCGATAGAGAAACCAAGGAGACCTTGGCTTGCAAGTCTATCTCCAAGAGAAAGCTAAGAACGGCCGTTGACATCGAAGACGTTCGCCGTGAGGTTGCGATCATGTCCAGCCTCCCTGACCATCCTAACGTGGTAAGGCTTAAAGCTACTTACGAAGACAACGAGGCTATACACCTCGTTATGGAGTTATGCGAGGGTGGTGAGCTCTTCGATCGGATTGTAGCGCGGGGGCACTACAGTGAACGTGCAGCTGCAAATGTGGCTAGGACGATTGCGGAGGTTATAAGGATGTGTCATGAGAACGGAGTGATGCATAGAGACCTCAAGCCCGAGAATTTCCTGTTTGCCAACAAGCGGGAGAACGCTCCGCTTAAAGCAATCGATTTCGGGCTCTCCGTATTCTTTCGCCCTGGTCTGCTATCAATCTTGTGTTTAGATTTATGGCTTTTTTTTTTTCAAATTCTCATTTATTCTTTTAACTTTGGTGAGCAGGGGAACGGTTCTCGGAAATTGTGGGAAGTCCGTACTATATGGCGCCGGAGGTATTGAAGCGCAACTATGGACCAGAAGTTGATATTTGGAGTGCTGGAGTTATCTTGTATATTTTGTTGTGTGGTGTACCTCCGTTTTGGGCTGGTATTGCTTGAAAAGTTGTAAATTTTAGATGACTTTATGCTGTCGGATTGCAGGTTTTTCATGGTCTCTTTTCTCTTTTCCTTACCTTAAATCGTTTGTTGCAGAGACTGAACACGGTGTTGCTCAGGCAATTCTGCGAGGTGTAATTGATTTCAAGAGGGATCCATGGCCGATGGTTTCTGAAAGCGCTAAAAACCTTGTCCTTCAGATGCTGGAGCCAGACCCGAGAAAGCGTCTGACTGTTCAACAGGTGCTTGGTAAGTCAATTTTCAGATTATGGCACTGAGAATCTGGAAGAACTCACGGATGTTGTCTTTCGTACATTTTAGCCCGTCAGAAGCTGCCCCTTTTCTTCATTTTCATTGATCTGCAAATCCTTTGTAACAGTGAAAGTAAATGGCGCATTTTATAGTTCCCTTTAGCGTTGACCTGTAGCTTACCTCAATTGGTGGACCATCTTAAATGAGTTAAATCCAAAATGATCAGATTGACGGGAGACTGAAAATGAGTAGAAGAACATATTGTTTGTTTGGTTCCAATATACGGTCCGGGATTTGGGCTAGTATTTAGGGTTCATGGTCAAGAAAAGAGGCCACCTAGGGGGCAGTAATAGTATCCGGGCCATCCAATTATCAACTTGCTCTCAATCCAAGAGGATTGAACAATAAGTTGGGAATGTACTTCAATTCATCACTTTGCCCATAAACAATGGCTGTTATATTGGTAATTCATCTTATACATGTGCACAAAATGGTTCCTATGCCATCTATGATCCAACCATGTATTTTTATATATGGTGGTATTTTTTACTGCTCTCATTGTTTGAATTCCTAAATTCTCCCTGGAGTTAGTGGGCCATTGGAAAAATTCTGGATTTTCTGTTCAATGGAGTACCTGAAATTGCTTTAGATGATCCAAAAATTTGAAAATTTGCATACTAATGCATATTTAGTGATAATGAAGCTGTTTTTGAAGCTTGTTTCTGTTGGATTTTTAGTAGCTCAATGTCAAGGTTAGACATAATCCCAAAACTGAAAATTGTTTGAAAATTTTAACAACTGAGAAAGTAGTCTAAATTCCTTGTAAAATATGAGCTTCATAACATCATGGTATCCTGGCCAAAGACTTTTTGTATTATTTTAATATTAAAAAAATAAAGAACATTATTTTATATTTTATAGTGCCGTGTACAAAATAGTGAGGTGAGTCTCTATGGGTGCCTTGTCGCCTAGGTGCCCACTTAGGCAACTATGTTTTGGCTATGTTTTAAATTGATATGATGGCAATGGTAAGGGTGTAGATTGATACCCTGGTGAGTCTGAGATTCTGAGCTTGGCTGCGGCTTCTCAGTGTTTTATTAATATTAAGCTCATTCTCACCCAGATCAATCAAAACTCATTAAAATCTGAGGCTGTAGCTCCTTCACAAGAGAGGAAGAGAGAGGGGAGGCAAGGATAATGCCTCAATGTCTATATGGGAAGGAGGGAGGGTTGTCCTGCATCTCCAAGTGTAAATTTTACAAATAAATGATACAAAAAATAAAGAAACTTATGACTACCACTATAAGTAAAAGTTGTTATTGCCAAGTATAAGTTAAAGAACCTAGCACTGGAGGTGTTTTCTTCCAAATGTATGGTTACAACTATACATGGAATCGTGTGGAGAACTTCACTGCTACTTGTGAATTTTGATTATTCTCCTTAAATAAATGACCTTTTTTTTTCCTTCGGCAGAACATTCCTGGCTACAAAATGCAAAGAAAGCCCCAAATGCCCCATTGGGAGATATTGTAAGGACAAGACTTAAACAATTCTCTGTGATGAATAGATTCAAAAAGAAAGCCATGCGGGTTGGTATTTAATATAACTAATAAGTTTCATTGCAATATCAGATTCTGATATTTATCCATATATTGTGTAGCTATGCTAATGCATGAAAATGGTTCTGATGTCCATTCAATACCTTAGGTAATTGCTGAGCACTTATCTGTTGAAGAAGTGGAAGTTATTAGTGATATGTTTAAACTAATGGACACTGATAACAATGGAAAAATAACATATGAGGAATTGAAGGCTGGGCTTCATAAGGTTGGGTCTCAATTGGCTGAACCAGAGATGAAATTGCTCATGGAAGTGGTAAGTTTCTGCTTATTTAACATAGGGTAATAGTAACTCCATTTGCTTTATCTTCTACCTCAACTTCGCCATGCTTGAGTGTCATAGCATGTTAATGTATAGTTTGGGTTTTGGATCTGAAGTTCCAACTGGTTTATTATCTTGTTGAATATTACTCCCCTGGTGGGAATTACCCAGAAAATTTGAGATAAACTACTGGTTAGCTTTGGAAAGAGAATCTTGTAATAGATAGCACTTAAAGTGTCTAGATCTTCAGAATCCAGTGTAAACATCTGATTCAAATTATTGCCAAGATAAGCCAATTTACTAGTTGACTGCTTGTGGGTGGACTGGGGAGGATGAATTGGTATATGTCTTCATCTCTCCCTAGGTAGTTTGTGGTTTGTCAAGATAAGCCAATTTACTAGTTAACTATTGAGAAGACATGTTTTTTACTTCTTTGCTACCAAATTGTCATTTTTGATTCAGGGAAAAAGTGAATCCTGTAATAGATAAGCGCTATGTCATGATTCAACTTATATAGCAAAAGGAACATTAACATGCAGGAAAGTAATTAAACAAAAAAAATGTACCAGTATGGATGTTTTATCTCTGAGACTGACAAATTCATTAGGTCAATATGTTCCAATTTGCATTATTAGATTACACAGATAGTTGGATTATTAGATTATTTATCAAGGAAGAGCTACTTACATTAATTTCAGTTGCCTGGAATTGCTATGCAGAAAATAATTGTTGTACATTCATATAGGTTTTAGTTATGGTAATCCTGATGTAGAAAGTACAACAGGTCGAGTTTCCTACAATTTTAGGCCCTAAGATAAATTGAAGTATGCCAAGGAATGCAGCCCCCTTGGCAACTGAAACTGAAGGCAGGATCTGGGGATGCAAGGTCCATAACACAGTTTAGACCTTAGGGGCACTAAAGCTTGCAATATCTTTCATGCTGAAAAGCTCATGTGCCAGCATCATATGGGTTCTTTGGACCTTGGGGGGGGGGGGGGGGGGATTAAATTACAACTAGTAGAGTCACCAAATAAAAACTATTCTCCAAAACAGTGAGATCATTTAAACTTATCTGCGAAGTGGTATTTGTCTAATAACAGGTTTTGATCCTGTAAATATGCAACATGTGGAACCATTGGTGTCCCAGATTTCCAATTCTGGGCTTTATGACCCCAAAACAGTCCCTATCAAATTTAGGGGTTATGGGGATTTCATCTGAAGCAAATCCTCTTGCTCCTTTAGGTTTGGGGTTCTTAGATTGGTGGGTGCTATGCTCAATAACCATGTAAGAGGGGTATTTGAGAAATGCACTTCACTAGATATTTCTTACTAAGTTAGGGGGGGTATCTTTTATATATTTTGCATAGGGGATCAGATGGTTAAGTGGATAGCCTCATAGCCCAGGTTTTCCTTCTTACAATTGGAGTTCTATATTTACATTCTACAGTTGTAAACTTGTACTTCACATTGTTACTATACATTTGCAGTCTCTATATTAAAAAAGTAAAGGAATTATGGACTTGAAAGAATTTCAGGGGAATATTTAGTTTAAGGAACATAAATAAAAAAAATAATAGAAACCTCTTAACTTGCTTGAAAGTAATTAATAATTCAATTATCTTGGTATAATAAAACCAAATGTTCTTGATTGAAAGGTAATAAAATGAATAAATTAATGTTAAAGAATATGTGAAGCATATCCAAAGTTCCAGTTCAAGGCTATTATTACATTCTTGAGTTTAAGAAAACCACCTGTCATAAAAGAAAACAAGTTCTTGAATCTCTCAATAGCAATTTGAGTATAGTATTGCACATATTTAGAAAAAGGAAACTGCTAGATGAAGAAAATATTTTTTTTTGGTAAAAAAGCTGAAGAAAAATAATAACAAATGATGATGACAGGTAAGAGGTTGGTTATCTAGTGCAATTTTAAGTACTCTGAAGATCTGATGTCATAGTCTCTCACAGAATTTGTAATCCTAAATAGTGCAAAGAAACCAAGCAGAAGTCTGGTAGTAAATGATTTGGATAAGGCTTTGATGATACAGGTGATGATTTGTAAGATAGCTAGGCTCATATAAGTCTCTCATGGAATATGCAATACTAAATAGTGCAGAGCAACCAAGCAGAAGTCTGGTAGTAAATGATTTGGATAAGGCTTAGATGGTACAGGTGATGATTTGTATGATAGCTAAGCTCATATAAGTAGCTGGTGTGGCACGTTTCCCACACTTCCAAAAAAATGGTGCATTTTCTTCATTTATTGATGTATCACATTATATACCACATTAGCATCTTCAAATTTAACAGCTATCCATATCCCTAACCTTGTAAACTTTTTTTTTTCAATGACGTATTTCATTTTTCTAGTGTTATCTTGATCAAGCCAAGTTGCTAGATAGTAGTGTTCAACTGGGTTTGATGAAGTCCATCCAACAAAGTTGATGCACTATTCACACATAGCTGGACGCCATCATCCAACACCCCCTCCGCCAAGAAAAAGAAAACACTTATCAAAAGATTAAAGGTTCATAAAGTTTTGAAGATTACATTAAGTGGATGGATCTGACCTGGGACAGGTGGACAAGTGTCAGATGTATGGTAGTTCAGATAGAGTCGAACCATGATTTTCTCTGGTCTCATCATCTAATCCTTGTCCCAACTATATATAGTTGACTACATGAATCCCATTTCACCATTCCATCCTGTTCAGTGCCGAGATCAAATCACTCCCCCACAATGTCCCACAGCACATCCCCGCCGTGTATTGGAAACATCTCTCGATGATGACATCATCATTTTTGGTATATCATCAGGAGATGTTCCCAATACACAGCAGGGATGTGCTGTGGGATGTTGGGGGGGGGGGGAGGGGGGGGCTGATTTGAACTCTTCAGTGCCATATCCATCATTGAATTATGGGCGCAGGTGTAGTGCATTGCTTCTGGGGAACACCCTAGCATGAGCATAAAAGGATAAATCAGGATTTGTGATCATGAGAGTTTGGCAGAAGTTTTATTGCTGGCTGCCAACCTGATGCAACCCTCCTCCTTTATCTGTGCTTGGGACTGGCAGTGTAAGACAAGCTCATACTAGCAGAGCTGTGATTTGCTCTGGTCTAGGTGCTGAAATTTCATTGCTCTCCGCAGTTTGTGGTCCTGAAATTATCCAGTCAAGGAGCTTATAGTGCTAGGATCCAGTTTGTGTATCACTGAATATAGTGATTTATGCATTTGAAGTTACTCTCCATCATATTAATGATGTAGTATTAAAATAATTACTTCTATTCAGGCTGATGTTGATGGGAATGGCACATTGGACTATGGAGAGTTTGTTGCAGTGACAATTCACTTACAGAGAATGGAGAATGATGAGCACTTTCGCAGAGCATTTGTGTTCTTTGATAGAGATGGAAGCGGGTATATTGAAGTGGATGAGTTACGGGAAGCCTTGAGTGATGAATCTGGCCAAGCAGATGCTGAAGTGTTGAATGACATCATTCATGAGGTTGACACAGACAAGGTTTCAACTTTCTTGCCTTGCATCTTCTTCTTTATTATCCTCTCCCTTTTGGGGTGCATACCTCTCTGATCTTGTAATAAATATTAATCTTTTACTAGTTTCCTTGGTGTCATATATTCAGGATGGAAGAATCAGTTATGAGGAATTTGTTGCAATGATGAAAACTGGAACTGATTGGAGAAAGATGTCAAGACATTATTCAAGAGAGAGGTTCAAGAGTTTGAGTATGGACTTGATGAAGGATGGGTCATTGAAATTTGGTGATGAGTTGGATGATCAAGGCACTGTAGTTGGAACGAAGGGCACATGATCATTTATATTTCTTTGTTCTGCTGAATATTCTGTTGCCACCATTCCAAACCAAAGCCAGATTCTTTTTATTCATGTTTAGCACATGGGAAGCCATCGGAAATTGAGGGGTCGGTGACTGGTTTTGGTTTTATTGCTGAATTTTGCTTGCTCTTTTGGCTGCACGAGGCAGATAGCCCAAGGGCCGAGGCCTTAGAACTGGCTTGAGTTGTCGGGTATTCCAAGGGATTGAAGCGTCTTGGTGACAGTTTCTTTGTCATTTTTGTCAAATTTGTGTAAATTTGCCTTACTATGTTTGATTTGCCTATACATCTGTAGTATTTCTGTTTTTCTTTCTTGTGCAGACATGAATTGGAGCTGTTCAGTGACACTGTGAGCATCATATAGTATCAATTTATTTCAGTCTACATTGTCAGGGCAATTCATCATTGCGCTGGCCTTCAAAACTCCGGGACTGATACCTGTTATATAAAACTATAGCTCTTTTGTTCTTTGGAGTGTGGACGGAATGGAATAAACCACCTGACTAATTACAGTAAACATGGTTAAACCAAAAGATAGAGAGGCATTGCAATTTTGTAGTTTGTAGGATCCACAGACAAAATTTGTACTTTTTCTCATTTGCGGTCATTGGTAGTAGGGGTGTGAGCATGGGTCTATTCAGTTCAGTTCCAAGGCAGAACCCAAAATGGTAAAACCTCTGTAGCTTGTAGTTGTAGGGGGTTGGTTCTGGGTTTTAGGTTTTGGGAATTAGAACCTATCTTGTCAGGATCAATTCTAGGGTCTACCCATAGAACCTGTTCTTTCTTTAAAAAAAGAGGCTTGTCTTTAAAAAAATAAGCATTCCATAACATATCAATCAAATTAGATAGTAATATATGTTACTGAGTTTAATATAGTACTTCATGTTATGTTTTTAACATTAACAGTTAAATATGATATAATCATATTGTCAAAAGTTGTATCATTGATTTACTATCAATATATATGGTTGATTAGAAATCACAAGCATAATAATAATAATATAGTTCAAAACTTATCATTATAATTTAAATTTTGTAAATATTACTTTTTGGTTCAATGGTCAAGTGAGACCATGGTCCTTGTAATGATGAGTACTTGGATTCAAATTTGCATATCCTCAAAGTATTTTGGGATTTATTTTAAGACAAGGCTCCACCAAGGCAAAATAAGGCCAGTTCTTTGAGTTGATTTGGGTAAGGTAACCCCATATCCTAGAATTGGCTTAGGTGGGGGCTGGTTCCAAGAATTTGGAACTGTACCCTACCTGGTAACAGATTGGGTATGGTTGGTTTGAGGCCGACTCAAGGCTGATTCTATTTGGTTCCGGGTAGAACTACCTATTTTCTCACCCCTAACTGCATAACTAGTAGAGAAAATTTTGCATTCCAAAAACTGATGCAAAATTTACACCACCTTTCTTTTACCTCAATTCTCTCTCATATAAAGTGGGGATCATGTCATATTGCTTCCGACCTCATTCAAAGAAATAATCCTCATCTTACCTCCATTCACTTTCATATAAGGTGGGGTCAACATCATTTTACTTCTCACAAACAAACAAAACAGTCAAATCTAAAGCCAAAGCAGACCAGAATTTGCATTTAGCATGTTTGCACTCGTGCATTTATACCAATGTAATTGAAATTTGCATTGCATACAAACTTGGCATTGGAGAAGAATGCCAATACAAATATATTCAGTGCAAAACCTTGTATATGATATTTCTAAACTTTGTATTTGCACTCTTACCAAACTAAGCTTAAGTTCTCTCAACTGTAGTATGAACAAAAAAATATGACTCTTAAAAACTTTATTACTTGAAGCAAAAGCTAAACAATGAGAGTGGCAAGTGATGTAACAAAGGAGAGAAAATAAATTGAATGGAATAAATCTTCATTGTCCTAAGTTCAAAGCTTTGTAATCCTAGGGAAGAAATGAACTAGGTTTGAGTTGGGTTTGGTCCATTCTAAACTGTTTTATATTTATAATGACTAGTGTAAAGGCACCTGCTATACACGTATACAAGTAGATGGTAAAGTTATAAGATGACAATATGGCCCCATTCGCTTTTCGGGAAGTTACTTATCCAGAATGCATTTACCCATGTTCTTTTATTTTTTAGGTAAATAAGACAATGGCCATTTTAACAAAAAAAAATGATTATTAAAATGAACAATTTTGTCCCGTCCAAGTGTTGGAAACTTTCTCCTATGAAATGGGCAGGAAAAATAAATTAAAAAAAAAAGAATATAGATATCTTGATCAGTTGGAATTAGAATCCTATTGACCGATTCCCCCCACCCCCTCCCCATCTCTCAAAATCCAAAAAAAAAAACAAACAGGCTCTATATAATAAAATTTCCCATTGCCATCAAAGTTAGCGTGGTTATGGGTATGGTGGATGCGGAAAAAATGTGGGAAGACCAAACAGGCTTTGGATCAAGAATAATAATCACTAGCCCAGTCCGAGAAAAATAAACACCCATGGCTCTATCTTCTTCTTCTTCTTCTAAAACGCCTATGAGATCTAAATGAACATGTAAGCTTCACTAAACAACTCAGGAATTCCACGTGGCAAATTATTCTGGTGCTCAAAATGATTTTCCTCATTCCTATATTTATGTTTGGAAAAAGATTTCTGCCAAAAAGGTCTTGCGTTATATGTAAGTTTTATATTATAAAATTAAGATATTGAACGGCTAATATTAATTGTGAAACCCACATGGCCACATATATGAAGATTGGTCACACAGCTGATGCCCACTATAAGGTCTAACATGTGGTCAATCCGGTCAGCCACATCCGTCCCGGTGGTAAAAATAGGTGACTTTAATAAGCTTCCTCCTTCATAGAGATGCAAATGGATCGGGTTGGATTCGGATATACCGATCCAATCCGATGATCTGATGGATCTTATGAAGATCGATTCAAATCTGAAACCATTAAGGATGTCAGATATTTGAATATAATTCGATCCAATTTAATTATCTATAGTTCTATAGAATTAAACAATTTATTACAGACAAAAAATAGAATAGTTTATAAAAAAAAAACACAAACATTTTTTCAAATCATTTTTAATAGCCTAAATCTCTCGGTACTCTTAAGCTTGCTCCCTCTCCCTAATAAAATTCTTTCTAGCTCCCTTCAATTTCCTCCCCTTCCACCCTCTCATCTCCTCCTCTCTACAATAATCTTAGGTTTGATATATTATCTTCTCCCCATCCCTCTTAAGTCTTAACTAGGTGTGTAACTTGAACATGTTGGATTGGGTTTAACCGTTTAGGGCCACCCCAGGTGGTAAAATCCTTTGACCTGGACGTTGGACCTGAGCCCAGCCCAACGAACAGTATTAATTGGAGTTGGACAATCCAAGCCCAGCCTAAAATAAATCAACATAACTCAGGTTGGGCTTGAGGCCTTGACGGGAATGGTTGGCTACGGTCTAGTTCAAGTTGATTGACTTTGAATTCCGTTTTATTCGTGTTCTTCGCTTTCATGAGTTTCATCCTTCATTTGAGACTTTGAGCTTCTTTCTAGGCTTAGTGACCATTTGAGAGGTTAAATGCATCCCATTCGAGGTAGGTGGGTGGGATTTGTTTGGCGGAGGTGGATACATTATTAGTTTTGTGATAATTTGGGATGAATTGCTGTAGGCAGCTCGACTGGGAAACACGCTACAGATACTTGGAGCACATGAAATATTGGATGTTCTGGCCAGTATTTTTCAAAAGAGCCCAGCACCTTACTAGGATTCTGTCTATTCCCCAAACGTTTCTTTTTTTCCTCTCTTCTCTAAATTGAAGTCAAGTTGTCATTAGTCATTACCATTTGTTGTCCCTCACGCCAACATGACTCTGAATTTTGTATCCATATGAGATCCTCTCAACGGAATCTATCCTTGGAATCGGAGCTGTGGCGTTACGCATGCCGAAGCCTGAATCAATTTTGGGGACAATTTTTTCGAGATAAAGTTCATGGTTGAAGAAGAAGATAACGAAGGTTTTGAATTTTGGTTAAAAAATTCTACACTTCTTTATTTTATCAATGATTTTAGTATCGGTTGTTCTGTCCCTTTCTTGGAATTTTCAAGAACACTGATATGTATAGGCAGGGCTGCTGCAGGGGTGCAAGTTGGGCGAGTTGGGTCGGGGTGAAGGTCAGCCCAAGCCAACCGCAAAAGTGCATATCTCGGGCTTGGACCAGGCCCAATCCGAGGTTAAATCCAAACTTAGTAACCTGGGTTCAATCTAAGTTTAACCCAATACAATTCAGGTTGGGCTCGATCTTGGGCTAGGCCAGGGCTTGGGTGAGTTGATTGGGTTTAAAAGAATTTATGCATAGAATTTTTATTAAAATCCAATTTAAGAATGAATTGATTCAAATTATGTAGAAGTTTCGTTTATAAATATGCATATGCATGCTTTATATATATATACACATATATACATAGGGCAGACTCGAACTATCTGAAGCCTCAACCCAAACCCAATCTAAATTTAAATCAAGCCTAAATTTTCTGGCCCAGGTTCAACCCGTATAAAAAACTTGGGTTGGACCTTATTAGCCAAGGGCAAAGAGTAGAAAAAATGAACATAACGACAAAGCACAGTCAGAGTCGTCGTTTCTGAAATAACCTCTCAAGTCTCAATTCTCAACCCATCTTTTGTGTTTCTACAGGACTCCATGGCTGCTAGGCCGGCTGTGCCTATTGTGCTGTTGAATTTTCGTTTAGTTTTCTTGTCAAGAAGGCTCTCTGAAGTGGTGAATTGGCCATGGAGAGAATAATGCTGATTATTTCATTACAGTTATCATTGGATTTTTGTTTCCCGCCAACCTGATGATGCGCATTTTGGCAGTTCCCCGGCTGGCAGGTGACTTGGATGCTTGGCTGAATAATTCTTACCTGGAATATGGCTTGGATGCCTAGCTGAATGGTTCCTATCTGGAATGTGGCTCTGATGCCTAATTGAGTGGTGACGACCTGGAGAGATGGCTCTGTTGCCTATCTGAATGGTTTCTACCTAGAAAGTGGCTCTAACGCCTAATTGAGTGGTGACGACCTGGAGAGATGGCTTTGTTGCCTAGCTGAATGGTGATGAGCTAGAGAGGTGGCTCTGATGCGTCCTGTAAGGACAAAGTGTCAGAGTGCTCGGGTTGCTTTACCCGGGGTGGTCACTCCGATGCTCAAGTTAGCGAATCAAAGATTTTAAGATAGCTAAATGCGAGAGAGTTGGAGAGCTGCGAGAACTAAATTGTGCATCTACCCCCTGAAGTTGTAGGTAAGGCCTTTATATAGGCATTGTTTGGCATGAGCATCACGCAACACGTCAGGGATCTCCGGGAGGACGTGCCTAATTGCTCCGAAGTCCTCGAAGGTAGTCGTGCACGTAGGCC